TAGTCATTTAGCAGACGCTTTTATCCAAAGCGACTTACAAATGAGTACAATAAAGGCAGTCAAAACTAACAAAAGAGCAACAATATATAAGTGCAAATGACAAGTCTCGGTTAGCCTAACGCAGTACACGTAGCAAGGTGTATATATACACACATATACACATATATACACATACACATACATACACATATACATACATATATACACACATATATATATACACACATACATACATATACATACACACACACATATATATATATATATATATATATACATTTTGAATGCAATCCACAATGTAGTTAAACATTACCACTCAAAAAGATTTGTTTTTTTGTTTAAAAAATGCTTTATTCATCAAAGAATCCTGAAAAATAATGTTTCCACAAAAACATTAAGCATCACAGCTGTTTTCAGCATTGTTAATAAATAATCAGAAATGTTGAGCAGCATATTAGAATGATTTCTGAAGGATCGTGTGACACTTAAGACTGGAGTAATGGTGGAATAAATTACATTTAAAAAAAATATTAAAATAGAAGAGAGGTTAAAATAGTAATGTTCAATTCTAAGAAATATTTCACAGTCTTTCTGTTTTTACTGTGTTTTTGATCAAATAAATGCAGGTTGGTGACCATTAAACAAAAATATTTCGATAACAATAAAAAAATCTTACAGACCCCAAACGTTTAAACAGCAGTGTATCTAATGGATACAGTGTATTCTTAACTTTATTATCAGATTAACAACTTATTACTAAATGATGACACCATCATTAATGAAGTTTGAGTGAGTTTGGAACAGCATTGTGAGACATGTCTGGCTGTAACCATATAAATGTGTCTTCTCTGTGTCTTTAGTGGATTTTATTTTGATATCCAACATCCACATGATTTAAACAAAACAAAATAAATCTAAGCAAGAAGAATTCTCACTTAACATGAATATTTGTATTGATCTTTTGAGACCCTGTAAGTTATATGTGAATGTTTTAACTGGTGGGTGACCTGAAGAAGATTGCAATTGTAAATATTAATCTTAATTTAGCATGTTTTTTAATTCAAATTGCTGCCAAACATGCTGCATTTGAGAGATTAAGCTCACTGTGAAATGACTGGTTTTAAAGTAAATAATTAATGTTTGCAAAGCATTTTACAAAAAAATGGATTTGGACTGTCAAACAATGCATTACACTATTTATACAACAGAGAGAGTTGTATAGCAGTTTCCAGAAAGCATTATACAATAAATCTCAGTCTAATAAAACAAAATTATCTTTGTTAAAAAAAAATATCCTGTCAAAAGTGCCGGGATATGAACAAACCTATAAAACTATAGTCTATCATTTTATTTCTCCTTCTCTCTCACTTATTCACAATCATTTAATCATCTTGTTTTGGTGCAAAGTGCACTACAAGTGGCTGCATGTCATGTAGCATTCTATGTTAAAATAATAATAATAATAAAAACATGTCAATATCATAAGACATGTAATTGGTTGGTTAGATGTGTTGGGGTGACATTAAAGTAAACAGCAGAGGTCAAAAGTGCAAATGCATCCTACAAAATTACTTTCAACACCACTGCATATAAAAAGAGTTTTAATTTGTATTTAAAGGGGACATTAATTCATAATCCAAGTACATTTAGCAGGTCACAAAGGACTCACAGTTTACACAATATGTAGTTTTCTATGTTCGCTGCAACACATTTTCAGATTTTCACAAAGCCTTCCTGTGCAATTCCATAGAAATCCATTGTTTGCAATCAGCCATGATTCATTTTCAGTATTTTTTCAGTAGGTTATGTGTCCTTGACATGATGGCCCGCCCGCACCATGTAAAATAAAGCATCTTTTATGAAATAAGTCTATTATTTTACAGGATATGCACTTTTTAATATTATATATTATATATACATATACACATATTAAATTGTAAAAAACATGAAATAATCATTTAATACATGTACAGTACAGTATGTACAGTATATAATCAGTGTTTTCGTTATTTATGTTCAGATGTTCAGTAATGGTCATGAACAGGCCCGGCTCTCTAAATTCTGGTAAGACTGATTAGGCTGCTGAGTCTTCATGTTACTGTAGCCTGCATTATTTTTCAAAATATTTTCCAAAATTACTGTTGATTTCTATTTGCACAACCCTTAATGCAGTTTAAACGGGGCTGAGTGACGATGATGAGCTTGAGCTTGCATTTTCTTCATCACACTTCATCCACACAGACACACTCCTGTGACTGATGTAGCTACACTGCAAATATACATTGCATTATTTACACTCGATAATGCGATAACCAATGAATAGATGGTGCGCTCTGCGAACGGTGAGAAAAGTAACGGCTATTCAGTGCTTCCCAAAATATGCCACATGTAGCGACGTGGCTCTCATCGGTTAACTCCACAGCACGACTGTACGAATCCTGCTATGGTAAAGGCTTCCCTCATGCATATTAATACTTTCGTCCGGTCGGCCTTGCTGATTTGCTGAAATGTTTCTCTTGGATATTAATTAGGCTGAGCGATTGGACGCCGCAGGACGGATACAAACAACGTCAGCGCAAGCTATTTCATATTCATGAGCCAAGCCTTCGCCTTAGTAGCATTCCTAAATGTGCTTCCCCGATCTTTATCAAAACACAGCCGGAACATCAGCCGGAGCTGGGGCCTGGGGCCACACAACAGTGCACACAGGGAGCGTTTGCACTGGATCTGGAGACTCTCAGGGGTCAGTATTCACATTCCGGTGCTCCTGGTTTGAAGCGAATGGTTTTCAATCTCTTCGAGTGAGCTGTCGAATCATCGGCAAGACACCTGTATCCAAATCTGCTTTGTTTTGCACTGGGGTAAAACTCTCGTCTTGTTTTTGTTTTAAATGCTGTCTCTGTTAAAATAATTACACTGCTTTAATGAGTAAATAAACATTCATCTTTCTTTAAAGACGCTAATAATAGCCTAGTGAAAAGTGCTTTTTTTGGCCTCTCGCGATGGGAAAACATGACTTTTTATTCTTTGTTCATTGCATATTACTTAAAATAGATTTTTAGTGGTTTATAAGTTTTTAGTGTTTAAACAGACAGTGTTTTTGAAGCCGGTTGAGTAAGAGGAAGAAAACACGTAGCTTATCTGATAAACCAAGCCAGTTGCAACAAATGTTTA